CATATTATTGCATTTATTTAAAATGCTGTTAATTGTTATCCAAATCTTACTCGTATTCCCATTTGCGGAAATAAATTTATATTTAAAATAACGTTTTTTTGCCAATTTTAACAGTTTTGTAAGAATGTTTCGATATTGCTTGTATTTAGCTTTGATATCAGTATTTGTGGGGTTGTTTTTCATACTAGAAAATAATTTGTTTTTAGCCCTGGCTGAATTAACTAGACCCCTGGATACCCAGGGTTTACGTATTGTTCCAGCACACATGTATTACTGTAGTGCAACTATTCAAATGTAAATAGAATTATGTGTATTAACTACATAATATGTAAATATGATTATTTTTAAAAACTGGGTTTTTACCCACGATTTTTATTACCGGTACTGTTAATAGCTTATAATAGAATAATCTCCCAGTATACAAAAAAAAGAAAAATTCTCAATGTTTTTGGGCATTATATGCAGAACACCTTCCACTGACTCTTGTGATCACTACAATAAATTATAAAATCAGTTGGTATGGCAACAAAAAGCTGAAATATTCAAGCACTCAAGCAATTCTATACTGAATGTAGTGGCGTGTAATCACCAAATTAAACAAAATTGTTATTGTTGTTATCACTCAAGGACATTTGCATATATTTTAGGGGGTATTCTAAAATCAATTTCAGGATTGTTGGTAAACATTTTTTATGAACAGTTCAAAATCTAACTCTCGATTATGGTCAGTGAAATATATTTTACCAGTGTTCTCCCCAGGATGTAAACAGCGTGGCGGTCCCGCCACAGTGCTTTGATTTGCCGCCACACGGTCTGACACCGCCACGGTGATTAGCAAGACCGCCACAGTGCTTTTTTCATTGGGGATCTCGTCACGCTGGTCGGCCCGACCGGCACTCAAAATTAGCGACCACCACGGAAACGCGTCGGACTATTGTCATATTGTTATTATACTTGCGTACCGACCGACAAGCATCCTGCCAGTCACGGTCGTGGATAATAATTTGTAAACAATAGACATAGTTGTGCGATGTGGTATCAGCTTTAAACAATAGAGGTCAATTTTGTAAAATTAGCACCTCTTTGTAAGTAAATATTTTCTGACGATAGATGCAGTCTTTAGATTGATAGCTAAAATTCATTCAAAATCAATTCCACCCCGATGTAACATGGGCAAAGCGGAGTTCACGATCAGTTTACGCTACTCAAGAAAAAACAACGTGTTTATTGCGTGATTGGGTAAAATACATTTGAACTGTTATCATCGTGAATCATGTAAAAATTCTTCTTTCAAGACTTCTTTTACCTTTCAAAAATTGCTAATCACCTCTTTCGAAAACCATCATGCAGTTTTCATCTGAAATCCATACCAACACGTCGTGCTACGACTTCGGTTTACTTCCGCAATGTGATTTTTATGATCACGATCATTCGGAAAACTTCGGGTTCTACCGGCATTACCATGCGGCATTCTGATTGGTTAATGGCGTTTTTGACCCACCGGGTCAAAAGACACATGTGGTCGACGAACGCGTCACAGCTATCATGGCGGTTCTGTGTTTTTCACGAAGTGATCGAGTGATCAAAAATAATTTTTCCCGATAAAACTAGTTCAAATTTTACGTTTTTTTTCATATAAAAAAAGTGTTATTTGTTGGAAGTGTTATTTGTTCGTTCATTTACTGTAAATGTAAACGTTGTAGAAGCTGATGGTCGGAATAATAACCAGCAATCCGCCAAATAATTACGTGGTCGATTTTTTGAAGGAGAATTTTGTAGTAAATAAGATCATGAAAATCTTAAAATAATCCTGGCTGGAACGTTTCAGATGAGTTTCATTTAACCTTTTACAATTTATTTGTTTCTTTTTAGTCTGCAGCATTTGCATTTCGAGAATGTTTCATTTTTAAATTCAAACTCTTCTAAGTTGTAAAACGTAATTTTTTGACTCCAAAAAAAAAATATTTGCACTGTGACGGAGCTCATTAATATTACAAAAGTGCCCAAAATAAAAGTGTTTATAACACTGTGTAAAGCAAATAAATATCTGCCACTTTGTTTTTGAAAATATATGTTGTTTATTGTGTGGGTGTAAATGTGCTTTGGTCAATTTCTATTATTATGTAAATGATATGCAAATTAGGCCGCCACAGTGGTTTAAATTCCTGGGGAGAACACTGTTTACAGATCATTCAATGTGGAAATGCAACTACCATCAAAGATGAGGAAATACAAATTACATATAAGTGAATAGTAACGTCTTGCTTTGAAATTAAGTAAACCAGTCAGTACCCATTCATTGTATAGTCCTGCATGTATAATTGTACATGTATAATTTACCACCACTACAGAAATATATCAACCAGTCGCCTCTCAGCTGTGCAGTCCTCCCTGCATGGCTTCCCACCACTGCCATTCAATAATACCAGGGAGCTCCCTGATAAGACTCATTAACACAAATTATTTTTGCATCAGAATACCAAAACCGAAGCAGGAAGTACATTACTATGTATACAATAAGTATTTTGAAATATCTGTACACATGCATTAACTATGTACACTGAAGATATAATCAGATTTTCTCTCTCGCCGAATTATTAATGTTTAGTTTAACAAAATTACCGGCTGAATACAATGTACTAGTAGTTTGAACCACAATTCAATCAATCATGGACCTTTAAATTTTGCTGGCACAAATGTATACTGTATAGCTCTAAAATTTTCAAATAAACCTAAAATGAAAATTGCTGTTACAATATCGAAACAATTATTTTGGCATCATATTGTTTCAATGATAATCTTATAGAATTGATGCAATGGACATTCTAATCGTGATCAGGAAGACATGGCAAACATGTGACGTATCATTATAACAGATTATTCCGGATAAGCACTGTATTTGGATCTGAAACATTCCAAGATGGTAGATACTTACATCACGCACTAAAGCACTTGACTCCGTCTCGATAGTTTCTTTATCTTTTGGTGTTTTAACGATCACATTGATTTTTGTTCCAGAATCATCACCAGTGTCCGCCATCTTGAAAAATGATGTTGCAGTGGATTGTGGGTAATCGGATATATTTTAACACACTTATTTCCCAAATTGATTTATATAAATATAACTATCATTCAGTTGATGCACCACTTATCTTGGGATAAAAACATGTACACCATGAATCGTTTGTGCCATTTTGTGCATGTTTTCTTGAACTTCAAACATGACCCTAAGACTATTATCAGTGTTTAGAATCAACGACCTAGGTAGTATGTCTTGAGGGCGCTATCACTCGAGTGGCAGACAGGAAAGTGGTCCATGGGTACTTTATCTGTTGTCTTCATTCACATTTATTTTCAGGGAAATTGACATGGCAAAGCAGAAAGTAACAATGCCACTACCAACACGTCCAGAACCTCCATCTTTGCAAGAAATGACGGAGGATATTGAGAAGGCCGAAGATGGTGATATCGTTTTCAATTTTTATGGTGTTTATCAGAACACAGCAGACAGTATGTATCATATTTTTTAGGTTTCACTATAGAGGGTCTATGGTTTCACACCGCATTTCTCTAATGTATAACTATAATAACCATCACAGCAGAAAACTTGGTACAGTTGCTCTGTTCAGATGAATTATTTATAAGATTTATAAGATTAATGTTATGTGACTTGTATATCCATGCGTCGTGATATTTGATATCAAGGATTTATAAGATTATGTAACTTAGATATCTGTATTAAATGCATCATTTCACTTAAACACATTGTATAATTTATTCACAGAGATAGATTCAATATCTCACCAGATAATTTTCTTACTTACTTTTCTTGCAGTCTGTGTTAAATAGTAACTTATAATTTATCAATTTTGTTCTAAATATTGAATAAATTGTTATTTCTGTGTTTTAGTGTCAAATTTGAAAATGTATCATTTCTTCCAGCTCCATTATTTTCTCAAACTGGAATCATGAGCGACTCTTATGAAGAACAATCACCAAGAAAATCTCCTATTGCCATGGCAACAAATGATGAAGCAGACAGTGATCAAACAGCCGCCATCGATACTTGCTATGAGAAGGCCAAGAGATACATAGAAATGAATGAGTATTTGGCGAAATCAAATGAAAAACTTTCAAGACAGTATGAGGAGTTGCAAAATACTGGACAACATTTAACTCAGTCCATAGAACAACTGAGGACGCAAACAGCTCAGATTAAGCATTGAGAATAATGTTGATACATTGTATAGCAAACCATGTCTCTGATTACAAGATGCTGGATTAACATGCATCAATTTTTCATGCTTGTATGAAATTTTGAGTGTCTGAAATGTTAAAATACAGTATCTAGATCTGATAATTTTAACTTAAATAAAATGCTGTGAGGTGTGTGAAGATCCAGTTTAACCTGAGTGACTGTTTAGAGTAACGGTGGTTCGTCATTAGTTTTATTGTTTCATTACGGTCATAAATATATTAAATCTTAAAAATCAATTCATCCGCAACTTCTGTGTCAAAAATATTGGAAGTCAGTCAGAAAATCAAAGATATCAAAATTACCATTACTTTAATAGTAAGTCTGCGAATAGAAAACATTAGGCAGAATATTAACTTGTAACATTTCTAGAAAAATAAAATAATGTTGAAAATCCTGTGGTTTGGTTTGCCATCTTGGAGTTTTGATAATGATAACCAAAAGTTTCAACATTTGTTTCTCATGGGTGCTCCATCCAATCAACTTGATATTTTGTATATAACATGTATTGCCATACCTTCTTATGAGAAAAATAAAATAGTTTTGGTCAGTCAGTTTTTTTTTGAAAAAATAGAATGATATATGAAATTCAAGGCAGAAAGCCAAGTAGTGATGTCAGATGAAAGAGTGAGCACATCCTGCTCCATGTGTTGGACTCCATAGCATATATTTCCTGTTGGAAAATTATGGAGTTGATGAGATAAGTGATTTTCTGAGACCATCGTAAGTTGAACTATGAATATTGTGAATGGAATGATGCACGTTTCTTAATTTCTTGATTGAGAACTAAAAACTGGTGTTTAAGTTTTTAATGTGTTTTTAAACTTAGGTATGGTAGGCTATTGTAGTTGTACTGGTAACCAATTGATGGCCTGGATTCCCATAACCTGATTAAAATGAGATCCTAGTTTTGGCTTTCATATATTTTTTCATATGTTTATTACATATTTTACTTTATTTTGATTACAATACATCTGATTTTAATCAGATTGGGCTTCCTCTAGATCTTTAAATTATTAAAAATTGAGCCCGACAGTCATGACTGTCGGGCTCAATTTTTAATAATGCAAGGTTATTTCATTTCCTGTTGCTGCCGTCAATGTAAATATTTTAGTATCGATGTTATTCTTCACCTGAATAATAAATCGAGAAAAAAAGCTGCTTGTAAAATAGATTTTTAATCATTTACTGTTCAGCAACTAACTGTTATAACCACCAAGAAATCAATTCAGCATAATTCATAAATGACATTATTTAGTATGCATTGCACAAATATTTTAATACCACTGAAACTATTTAAATTAAGGAACATAATGAGAATATGAACAGAAGACAAAAAGATACAAATAAAACAGAAGCAAAAAGTTAACATTTAAGAATTTGCACTGTCTGTAAACCAAAACAAAACAATAATGGACCATTATTAATTGAAACTGGGTAATGTACAACACACCTGTGGAAAGAGACTGTGAAATGCAGTCATGAAAAGAAATCCAAATAAGTTCAAAGTTTAAGCACAGTCTTCTAGTAACTATGACCATTGTCTCAACATTGTATGGCGACACAATGAATCCTTTTAAAAGACAAAACCAAATCATGAATGAATTTCATTTTCTAAAAGAATGTCAATATAAACATTTTGACAGTAAAGCAATGGA